CAAGATGCTTCCACGATTGAAGCTCAAGCAACTCCCAAAACTGTCCGAAGGTTTTACATTAACTAAATCTGTCTAATAAGCATTTTTCAACACGATTGCTCAATCGAGCCACCTGCACTTGGGAAACACATAATGTACGCGTGACGTATGAGTGACGTAGACGAGTCTTGAACTCGTAACACCTTCCCTCCTAGATGAGCAACTATTTGCGAAGATTGAGAGCAAATGTTGCGGCTTTTCTTTCTTCGATGGATGGTGTAGAACCCGCTGATGCCATTTCCATCTCTTGAGGCTGTGTAGATTTAACTCGCTGTTGGATCTTACGCCGTCTCAAGTAGTAAGCCACACTAATGAGTGCAAGTGCACTTAACAGTATGATGACGTATGTAGGTATCGTGGTGTGATATAAGCTGGATAAATCCACGGTGTTAATTCTAACAGGTGGGTCCATGAGTAATTGATGTTGAATATTGTGTAATTTGTTCAAATCAATTGTTGCGAAATCATAATGTGGTAAGTTTTTCTTCGAATTTGCTGACATCGGAGTCGAGTGTGGGAATGTCATTATTTCAACAGGTTGCCCACGAAATTTGTCATCAGTATTAACAATTGTGAATTCTGGTGTGTGAATGCTGCAATTTCGGGGAATCGTTGCGAAGTAGCTTCCTTTTAACAGATGATATTTTTCTTGTCCGCATGATATTTTTACTTTGATTTTGTTAGGTAATGATAAAATATAATGTTGACTGTCCAATTCTAGTAGTGCTTCCTTCAGGATTATTTCTTTGATATGGATGTAGGATGGCACTCTCCTGTATTCTGATGATAAATGAGATTGAAGACGCAGTCACTGCGTGTTCGGGTTTGATGGTTAAGCTGCTGCTTGCATATGTACCAGGTGTCGATCTTCGGGCATTCAGCCTCCATGTACGCAAATTCCTGGGAATTGGATGCCATGTATGGGAATGGTCGAAGGATAATTTCTGAGTTTTTATTAGGAACAGGACAGAGTCTATAAAGGTCATATGTTTCTAGAGACATTATAGGAAACTTCAAGACAATTACAATTTTCTTATCAATAAAATATGATCCTAAGGTAATTAGATCGTAATAAAACCTAACATCTAAGTTTAGTAACGCTTGGGATTATATAGATTTTTAAGCTGTGTTAACATATTTTTTAAATCACTTATATATAGTATAGAATGGTGCATTACGTTTGTGCGACTAAAAGCTAAAATATTACCTAATCTACTTATTTCAGATGAGAGTTCCAGAATATTTTCCGTAAGTATGCTAAATAATTGGGAAATCTGTGTAAATTGATACATCTGTTCTTTTTCAGTTACAGATGCATTACTTATTGAAATTATTGCTTTTTCTAATTTTCTTTGATTTGAAGAGATATTATTTAAAATTTAAGTTTGTTGGATGGTCATTTCTTTATATAAACTAATATGCTTATTAAAACTATCCGAAAGGTCTTATATTTTTCGGTACAAATTATTAGGGAAAGTGGCTTGTTGCATGAAATGGTATTTAAAAGGTTTAAATTGATGTGTAAGCATTCCAGAATTGAATTGTCTCGAAGGCATAAGTGAGTCATGCGAATTAAAAGGTGAGTAATTAAACGGGGCATTGTTAATCGATTTCTTAGAAATTAGCGGGTTACTGGCTTTCGATTGTAAGTATAAGACGTTTAATTCTTCCTGGGCGAAATCCAAGGTCTTTTCTAGCGAGTCGGGGCGCATGCACCTGACACGTGAGCCTAAAGGCTCGGCTAGACCTCTGGTATATGTTTGAGGAGCTAATTTTTTTGTAAAGTTCACGTTTAGCCTCAACTGTTGTTTTAATCTGTTCGTATAATTCTACATAAGTCATAATTATACTAAGTAAATTTTGAACTCGCTCGTAAAATATTTGCGGTGTATCGGAACCTTGAGTTAACATAGATAAATCGGTGTATAGGGCGGATTCGTCTCTGTGATCCGAAAAGCTGTTAATTAGCGCATTTCTTATGCCATTCCAGTCCTGGGGGATGCCATTTGCTGCTAATGTTTTAGCAGCAGGCCCGGTTATTTTATTTAAAATTCCATTAATTAAAGCGTAATTATTTAGTTCATTTCCCGGAGCTGGATTAACATATGTTAAAATCAGTTGGTCGCAAATGTTCAAGAATCTAATTAAAATGTTCGAATTTCCATCAAACTCAGGAACTAGCCTTAAAGATTTCGAAATCCTTTCTGTCATATCGTTTGAATAAGCTACAGATTGTTGTTTGGACGCCATTTCTTCTTCTATGCTTTCTAATGTAGATAACTCGATTTCGCGATGAAACCTTAATTCTCTAGAATTAGGACGAATACTGCGCCGCAGATTCCGTCCTATATCTCTACTTTTCTTTGGAAAAAAAAATCTTGAAAACTTTCTAAACTATTAAAAGAAAGCTTAATTAATTTACTTATTAAGTCCTACGGGAGACAGGAACGGGGCCGCTGTCAGCCAATAGGAATATATAGCAATCTTTCTAACTATAAAAAAAAAAATTTACTTATTACGTCCTACGGGAGACAGGAAAGGGGCCGCTGTCAACCAATAGGAATATCTAGAAATCTTTCTAACTATTAAAACAAACTTATTTAATTTACTTATTACGTCCTACGGGAGACAGGAAAGGGGCCGCTGGCAACCAATAGGAATACGTAACTTATATAATAAAACTCACAGGAGCAGGATGCTTAGCTTAGTGTGGTGATGGGCCATCGATTTTTGGATTAGCGCCGGTTTTCGAAGTTGATTCTTCTTTCCCGTCTGACGACTGCTTCGCGTAGATTCGTAGAGATAGTCGACACGCCGACGACACGACTATCAGGCGGATCGAAGTATGATGCTCGCACTGACTCGACTATCCTACCGACTGCGCCAATTACGGAATTGAGCCGTCAGGTAAGGTTTTTAAAAACTAAACTTTAAATTATTACTTTATTTATTTAAATGTTATACAAATTTACTTATACTAATTGATCCCGATGATCCGGTCTTACAAACTATACGTCAAGATGCTTCCACGATTGAAGCTCAAGCAACTCCCAAAACTGTCCGAAGGTTTTACATTAACTAAATCTGTCTAATAAGCATTTTTCAACACGATTGCTCAATCGAGCCACCTGCACTTGGGAAACACATAATGTACGCGTGACGTATGAGTGACGTAGACGAGTCTTGAACTCGTAACATACTTGGCTAGCTTGCAAAATAAATAAAATTGAGAACTATGATGGTCCTACGTTTTGCATAATAAAGAACGTTCAAAGAGTAAATACACAAGACGAAAAAATAATTGTTATGAACGATTTCCATTTACTGCCAGTAGGCAGTTTTTGGTCAACCGCTAGTAAGCGGTCACGCTGGTATTAGGAGAATGACAAATAATATAAAAGGATATTACTATTGGCCAGAAATGAATAAGGATATACGAAACTATGTGTCAAAATGTAGTCAATGTCAGAAGCAAAAATATACTAAGTTTATTAAAGAACCATTGCAGATAACTAGTACAGCTTCATCATCTTTTGAAAAAGTTTATTTAGATATCCCTTAGACCGAGATGATTTTGGTAACGTTTACATCTTGACACTACAGTGCGAGATCACAAAATTTGTCGAAGCCTATCCGTTAAAAACAAAAAGTTCTGAGGCGGTAGCAAAAGCGTTTGCGGAGAACTTTATCCTGCGTTATGGCATACCGAGAGAAATAGCAACAAACAGAGGAACTGAATTTATTTCTAATACTATGAAAGAGCTGTGCTCTCCATCTCTCCTGCCGCTTACCATCATGAAAGCATTGGGTCATTAGAAAATACTCATAAGTTATTAGGTTCATATTTACGTATACAAACCAACAATCACCCTAGCTCATGGAGCTCCTGGGTTCAATATTGGTGTTTTTCATACAATACCACCGTTTATACAGAAACACACTATACGCCACACGAATTAGTTTTTGGTCAATTATGCCGTTTACCTAGCAATTTATGTAGCACTTTACAACCATTGTATAATTATGATAGATTTCCTTTAGAGTTTAAGTTTAGGATTCAAAGAGCACAACAGGATGCTATTCAAAATTTGCTTAAGAGTAAATCATTAAGAAAATGTATTTATGACAAAAATATCAATCCTATTACTTATAATGAGAACGATTTTGTTTTACTGAAAAATGAAACTGGTTCGAAACTTGATACATTGTATACGGGTCCTTATCGAGTTATATCCGATTTATCACCTAATGTGAAAATTGTTAAAGACAATAAAGAAATTATTGTTGTAATATAAAAAAAAAAGTTTCTATTTTTTTTTCATTTGTGGGGGAAGATGGATAATAAGTGTATTTAGCAAGTAAGCAATATTGATTTATATTAAGTAACGCGCATGTATCGCGACGGCATTAATAATTAAGACATAGAATAGTAAATATGTAATCTTAAAGGAATAAATAAATAGTTTTATTAGTTTAATAAATGTTTCAATCAACGGCTCCTACGACAACCGTGGATTTCAATTTAATTCTTTTGCACCGAAGCTCTCGGATTTAAGAGTCATTTTGGCTCGAACAGGATGCGCACCAAAAACGTAACGAGGTCATTCATCGATAGATTTAACTCCTCACATTTTTCTCATACCGGGCCCCTTATATATGCAAATCAATTCTTAAGGAGTAAACTCCAAAAACATGAAACAAAAATCGAATTACGTCAAGCGTACGCTGCTAATAAACGTGTGCTATTCTCAGCCTTTAGATTACTTCTCGCAAGGTCCATTTTCGCACGAGATCGCACGACTGGTGATCACACGAGCTCGGCTCCCGATATGGCATCGTATGTGGGCGCGCTGCGAGAGGTAATAATGATGCAAATCGCACAAGGCATGAGCATGAAACAAAAATCAAATTACAAGTGTACACTGCTAATACAAACGTGCTATTCCAAGCCTTTAGCTTACTTCTCGCAAGGTCCATTTTCGCACGGCATCGCCTGACTGGTGATGGCACGCGCTCGGTACCCGAGATGGCATCGTTTGTGCGCGCGCGGTGCGAGGTAATGACGCGTGCGCGCGCGCACTCCGCACCCCTCGCAAGGAGACCACGCCGACCAAGCGGATAACGCGCAAGGACCCGTCGACGAAGCCGCGGGAGGCTCGAAGTCAGATGGCGCTCTGTGAATCATAAAGTGTCAACAGTAGACAGTGAAGATAGTCAAAGATACTTTGTTAAATATACTTATAACACTTCTGATTCTGAGCTTAAATGAATTTCTATTTTATTTTCCTATGAAGGTTATGCTTCCAAAAGTATAAGATTATGTAACGCTAATCAAAAGTTGATGCATACAAAACATAGAAATTCTTATAATTTTAAATGTTTTATATTATTTGGTGAAAATTTTTATCCTCTGAAATATTTTTATACTAATTAAATCAAACAAAACATTGATAGTCTTTCACCATATTCAAGAGCATCAACGCACCTGCAGTGTTGCCTTGGGCCGTGGCACGTGGTGTAGTCCGTGAGTGGCACGCGGCACGCCTCCGCATGCGCTCGCAGCGGCCACACGTAATGACGCTGCCTAGAAGCGCGCCCCTCGCCGCACGACACGCTGCATGCGCTCCACGCGCCCCAAGCGTACGTCGCGCAAGCTCCGCCCCCGCCCCCGCCAGCACCCGCGCCACCTGCGCCCGTGTCGCCCGCCTGCTGCACACCCGCCTCGGCCCCGCTCTCTACACCAACACTAGTCATAAATCACCACAAGACACGCTGCAGGCGGCCTGCATCATCCCCTTCTCAGGGGTTGATCGCATCAGATAAATCCTGTAAGGCCCCTAAGGCCATAGGCATCCCCCACGGGTGTGTTTTAGTCAGTAAAAGCCATTAGGGTACGGCCAGAGTGCACTCCTGATTCAGATTCAGATTCAGACTCAGAAAACAAAGCGCGAGAAAAAGCAGGCAACCTGCTTAGACTACACTGTTTATTTCTCGCGCTTGTTTTCAGAATCTGAATCTGAATCTGAATCTGAGTGCACTCTGGCCGCACCCTTACGCACTGTCGACTAGTCGCCAGCGAAGCAGTCGCCTTAGTTGACACTTAGTGTTATAAATAATTTTTCTTCCGCAGAAATACATGGTCGCATATTTGTACCTGTGCCAGTTATATGTGGTTTCAGAAGACACAATAGCTCATCAAACGAACGCAGACATTCTTGCGTAATTAAAAAAATCCGAGGGTATTTTATCAAGTCTTCATTCAGTCGTGCGTGGAACGCATTAGGTGCGAGACATGTATCAATTTATTTGCTGTGCTTGTTAGTAACGTTTGTCGCGATGACAACGCGGTCACCTCCGAACTTAAGTGCATCGAATCCTAACCTCAGCGTAAGTTGTGACAAACATCCCGAAGTAAACATCCGAAAACGAAAGCAGCCTGATGACTGTATTACTGATGCATTGGAACGCATGACGCAGAATTTGAATAGATCGATAGTTTCGCTACGAGATGAGTTGAACTCAAAATTGGAAAGTATTACATCTAATATAAATACCATATTTGCTACTGAAATGGCCAACTTTCGATCCATGGTCAACAACATCAAGAACGAAGTTACGGACATCAAGACAACCTGTAAATCGCTTCAATCTTCCATCGATGAACTACACTCGAAGCAACAACAATCAACTGCGAGCATTACGGAGATCAGCGGTGGGATTGATGCCCATCATGTGCGCATTAATAACCTCGAAAAAAACTCTTCGTCGATAGGAAATGTTACCACCAAGTTGCAGGATTTATCTAACACTATGCAAGATTTACAATGTCAATTTGCATTGAAAGACCAACGGGGTCGCTTGAAAAACCTTGAAATTTCAAACGTTCCCCTGACTAAAGGTGAGAGCCTACACTCCATAATAACATTATTATCCATAAAAATAGGCGTAGACCTAACCCCACATGACATTGATAATATCCATCGAGTAAGAAAATTCGCAACCGCTGATAAGAGCTCCGAGATGCCACCCAGCATAATAGTACACTTCTCCCTGCAACGACGAAAAGATGAGTTCTTGGCGGCCTGCAAAATTCGACGCGAGCTTACTACAGTAGACCTCGGTTACGATGGACCATCGAAACCAATATTTGTTAATGAACATCTGACCCCGCAAAACAAGTTATTATTCAAAAAAGTTCGAGCTGCTGCCAGTGATTATAGCTATAAATTTGCCTGGGTGAAGGATGGTAAACTGTTCGTCAGAAAAACTGAAAGTTCAGAAATTATTTATATATCTAACGAAGTTGACTTATACAAAATCAAATGACTACATTGGACTGTTTACTATATTTTGTTTTGTGATCTGGCGGTCTTGAGTAATACCATTACAAAAAAACTAAAAAATATTATTCTCTCTTTGTTATTGTTGTTGTTCACTGTAAACTTTATTAAATTATCTGTGTTCCTATTCATATACAAATATTATATTTTGAAAGTACTAAGAAAATTTATATTTAAAAATATATATTATTATGTGGTGATGAGTGATGTGTTGTATTCGGTCGAACCCAAAAAAATATTCGTTCTTGAAACTTGAATAATGTATTTATTACAATGTATACACTTTATTTAGTTACCCGTTGGTCAGTGACAAGCACCAGATGGTATTTTTGTTTACTATCATACAATAATTTGCCTCTATTCATTTTCAACTTAACTCATTATTACTTAAATAAAAATGGCTAATCAAAAAACATTATCAATTACATATCAAAATGTTAGGGGTCTCCGAACAAAGTCGTTTGATTTCTTTTCTAAAACTATGCTGTGTACATTTGACATAATTTGTAAATTGCGAGCGCGTGTGGCCGAGGGGGGGGGGGTGATGGTTGCGATAAGACGTGGGCTCTGTCACGGTAATATTATCTATACAGTATTGTGACTCTGCCCTGTCCTTGAAAATAAATGCCTACGGCCGAGCGCTGCGTTAGCACGCGGTAGGGCCGCCCGCCTTTTTTTTTGTGACGAGGGGAAATGCAGTTACGCACCATACCGTGACGCTGACTAGGCGCACGGCGTTTGTGGGACTCGCCGGCACGGGAAACAGTGCCGACCCTACTCAAGCAGGACCAATGCGGAAGGCCACACTGATCCTACTCCACTAAAACCCCCCGGTACTATAGAGTTCTACCCAGAAGGGATAGAACCTGGGAGCGTAGACGTTAATTGAAAGAAGATGATAGAGATAAATTATTTATTTCTTTTTATCATTCAGGCTAATATAAAAGTATTTTATCTAATTACGAGAGGAAATTCTTGGTGCCTGAAGATCTAATAATGAATGGAACCTTCAGACGATTCCTTATTTCAAATCTTAAAATCATGACATTAACTTTTTAATATAACTGCCAACCGTAGGCGTTGCAAAAGCAAAGAGTTTACCTAAACAAGGAGGCTGCAACGTTAAGGACGTTACATCCCTCCGGCACCTCTAAAAAAAAATTGTTTTGTCATACCAGATGACCGAACAAAATTTTTTTTCCTACCTACTACATCGAGAGGGTTCGACGGTCCTATCTAAAATCCCTACCTGCTTAAGGACATAAATACAACTGGGAGGTGGCCTTTACTACAGACTAGCCCTCACAATAAGTTTGCAAAACTTGCAAAAAAAAAAAAAACTTTACGGGAAAAGAACCCTAACTGTTTGCAAAGTTTTATTGCAAAGACTTTACGGGAGCAAAACCTTAACAAAATCCCTCGCACATCTCCCTCCTAACCTTAACTTTACTTTACTTTACATCGACATCAGTCGGCAAAAACATAAAAACAAAGCTAACCCTAGCTATAACTTAAATTACCCAAGCAAATTTTTTTTTATCCCATCTATCAGCAAAACTTTACCCTATCCCATTTATTAAACCATTAAATATCAAGAAAATTTATATTTTGAAACTTCATTACTTCCCATACTAAGTAGATGTACGAAACGAAATTCAAACTATTTCCTAAGATTCGTAAACATTAACTGGATTTGAGCAAAACCTAAAAGAATTTATAATTAATGTTTACTTTCGTACATCTTTAATAAAGATACAGACGTGGTCCACCACTTTATTGTCTTATACTTTATTAGACACCCATGATGCGCAAACGTAATAGAAATTTTGGGTAAGGACATCTAGCATCAAACAAGATTAAACCCAATTCCCATGGAATACTAAGGGTTCCCTACCCCCAAGTCAAACTACTACAAGTGACGATTTTGACGAACGCGACGTGACCAAATTGAAACGAAAACGACGCGAATTCGTAGAGGGTGTCTCCATCATCTTCAGGGTGGATCATCGTCAGTATCGCTGACGTCTGCATGAGCGCCAGCCTGCTCTCTCTCGGGAAGTCCGCATCATGTGGTAGTACATAAAACAATCAAGAAAATATTAGTAAAATTCTTTACACCATTTTTCTTCAGTCGGGTAAGTTAATATTCAAGAAAACATTTATGATAAATCTTTATAGCCTCTTTTCCATAGTTGGGTAAATTTTCAAAGTATAACATTATTATTCATTTATTTATTTTTTTTAACCTTACAGGGAATCGAACCCGTTTCCTTTTTTATAATAAGGGAATTTTCTTTATGGACCTATATTATCCTATTATACATTATTAACTATATATATTCTATCCTAATGCTGAATTAATCCTACCAATGATCATATTCAAAGTCAATTGAATAATTCCAAGTTGAACAGAGAATCGAACCTGTTACCTATCATTCTTATGGTTATTACGATATCAATTATCCACTTACTCAACAAATTACACTAAAGCTAACAATTAAAAGAAATGAAAATACTTTAATGAAACTACCCATTGATCTGTCATAAACAAAATGTGTAAAAGTTCCTTATAATATGTGTATTGAAAAAAATTTCTAATAAAATGACAAAGTTATATTTAATATGCTTTTGAAATAAAATTCTAAAATAACTATTGTATTGAACCTTATTTACATACCACCAATACTTTAAAACATTCATATAAAGAATAAACTGAAATAAAATCTCATTAGTAACACAATATTATAATACTATCAACCTATTCGGCATAATATAAATTTTCATCATACACCGAATTATCACTATTCCTTTCATCATTCTTTTGTGTATATTGTCTTTTAAACTTGCACTTAATATGTTTGATTATTAATTGTTCATTATAAAAGTCTACTATCGCATTATTTCGAAGTAAGAAATCCTGTCCTAAGATGAGGTTATGCCTAATATTCTCTACCACAAGAAAATCGTGAATGAATAACACATTGTCTATCAATAATTTAAGGTTAACTTTCCCTATAACAGACAATTCTTTACCATCGACAGCTTTCAACTTCATATCGCTTTCATCAATTTGTTGATGAATTCGCCTTACTGTGTCTTTTGACACCACAGACACTACAGCACCACTATCAATGAGCCCTACAAACTCCTTGTCACGACACGTTATATTAATTAATGGTTTGGACTCACTTGTATGCTGACTGTTGTTTTCTGACGGTTGGGAATGAAAATCTTGTCCATCAGCCATCGTCATAACATTTTCTTCATAAAAAATTTTCTTTGGGTGCTTCTTCTTTAGTTTTTTCTTTTTGTTCGTGTTACTGGAACAAAAAGTGCGGGGAATCATGTGTTCGGGAGGGACAATGGGATGAGAAAGGACACTTTGGGAGGAAATG